TTCAACAGTGTTTGCCTTGGGGGTTGGAGACACCAAGAACTCCCCCAAGGATCCCAAGCCCTCAGCCCCCCTGATTCTAGAGGGGGTATTAGAGTAGGATCTCCTATCCTCACCCCCACCATATCTCCTTCAGCCCCCCCCCTACAACCCCAGGATGGGCCCCCTCCTCTGACATCACCAGATGCTCAGGGGGAGGCTCAGCCCATCCTGAGTCCCCCCCCCCCACCCCACCCCCCCCCACCCCCGCACCCATGGAAGAGTGCCCCAGGAAGCTACCGCCTGTGAGCTGGACTCCACTCGTGTGATAGGCCTTCCTGATGATCAGGGCAGTGAGGTTTATCAGTATTGGCCCTTTGCCACTGCTGACTTGCATAACTGGAAAACTCAGAACCCCTCTTTCTCTGATAATCCCAAGGGTCTTATTAACCTGTTAGACTCTGTCGCTTTCACTCATCAGCCTACATGCAATGACTCCAGCAACTCCTCCAGATCCTTTTCACTACAGAAGAGAAGGAGTGCATTATTGTTGAGGCTTGGAAGCTGGTTCCAGGAGATGATGCGTGTCCCACGGCCAACCAGGCCCAGATTGATGCAGGCTTCCCCTTGACTCGCCCCCAATGGAATTTCAATTCACCAGAAGGTAGGGAGGCCTCAAGGTCCTACTGCCAGGTTCTAATGAGGGGTCTCCAGGTGACTGCTAAGCACCAACTAATGTGGTTAAAATTTATAGTGTTGAGCAGGAGGTTAATGAATCACCATCAGCTAACCTTGAGAGACTGATTAATGGAGACTTTTAGGGCTTACTCTCCCATGGACCCCGAGGCAGCTGAGCAGAGGTCAGCAGTAATCCTAGCTGTTGTCAATCAAGCAGCACCAGATATTAGGAAGAAGCTCCAAAAGATAGATGGTTTAGCCGGTAAGTCGGTGAATGACTTGATGAAGGTGGCAAATAAAGTACAAGCCAGACTAAGGAAAAGACAGGAGAGGGTTAGGGCAATGGAAAGGGAAGCTAGAGCAGCTGCAGACGGAAAACAAGCTTGCAACATGGTTCGAATGCTACTGGCAGCATCGGCTGCAGATCCAGAGGAAAAACAGAGACAACTCCACCGCCTGACCCGGAACAAGGTAAGGCACCCTGGAAGAGCAACAAGCCAAAGCTGCAATAAGACCCATGTACCCAATGCAAGGAAATTGGACACTGGGCCAAGGAATGCCCCAGAAAGAGGAACTATAAGGAACCCTGTCACGTACTGGTGGCGGAAGCAGGGGAAGAAAGTGACTTAGAAATAAGATATTAAAGCTGCATCTTCATGGACTCATACAGGATAAAGGTCTGAGAATGTGAAGGCTTAAGTAAGCACCAAGAATAACTTAAATTCTGAGTGTCTGAGGATATGAAAAGTTCTAAAAGTGTAAGAAAGTAATTTTTTTCTCTCCAGCTCCCGCCAAGTCCTGCCAGTCCCAGAGCCCACTTATAAAATAAACACACAGACTCTTATATTATTTACAAACTGTATGGCCGTGGCAGGCTTCTTGCTAACTGTTCTTATATCTTCAATTAACCCATTTCTATAAATCTATACCTAGCCATGTGACTCGTGGCTTACCTGCATCCTCACATGCTGTTGTCATGGCAGCAGCTGGCAGTCTCTCCCTCTGCCTTCCTGTTCCCTCAATTCTCCTCTCTGTTAGTCCTGCCTATACTTCCTGTCTGGCTACTGGCCAATCAGTGTTTGTTTATACAGAGCAATATCCACAGCAGTATAAGAAAGTGATTTCATGTACATGAAAGTTCTGAAGGGAACTTTGAAGGTATGAGAAAGTGACTGAAGGGAATGGGGTTTGGACCCCCTCCCCAAACCTAGGGTATTTCTACACTTGGAGGGGAAACCTGTCCAATTTATGTTTGGTGACAGCTCCCCACCCCCTGCCACCTAGGTCCCATTTTAAAGAAAAAGCTTGAGTACTGGGGCTACAGGCATAGACCAATACTACTCATGGACTACCTGAAGACAGGTGGACATTGGGATGGGCCGAGTATCTCACTCTTTCCTGGTCATGCCTAATTGCCCATACCCCCTTTTGAGGCCATTGCCTTGCTTGTCAAAGATGTGGACTGCCAGAGTTCAACTCTGGATGAGGGCAGGGTCTGAAGATGGGTAGATGCAAGAGTGGTGACGGAGGAAATACTTCTTAGTTTCATTTTAGGAGAGATGGACAGAGAGGAAGCATACAGGAGTCATCCCCAGTGGGACAGGTCCCAGCAGAGGATGTAAGGAGTTGGGGGAAGGAAGTGAGGCAGGCCATGGTGGTCGGGAGAATCTTGCAGCCTGACTGACTAGCAGCCAGAGTGCTTCTTTATTTATACAGAATTGAGTGAGCAGGGATACATCCATGATGTTCCAAAACATAGATCGTATCATTTTTGTTTTTGGACATGTGTTTCACTTCCTTTTGCTAATCTTTTAGTCATCATTAATAAACTATGACAGAACAGTGTTATTATTTCCAATCATTTTCCCTCAAGTTTTGACATCATTAATAAATAGAGGCATCATTCTTACTCATAAACTCCATAACCCAGTTTTTGAGAATCTAGAGGCATATGCCAGCCTGTTCTCAGGCTGGTAGCTTTGGTTGCTTCAAGGACACTAGATCAAAACAAAATCTTCAAGCTACCCTGGACATTTTGCCAAGTCCCAAGCAGTGTGTCATTAACTCTAATGGTCAGAGTGCCTAAGAAAAATTCTCAGGCCAAAGCTGCTGCAGTTATTCAAATTCTGGCATAATACAACGTTTACATTTTATATCTTTATAGAATTTGTCGCTGGGCGGTGGTGGCGCACGCCTTTAATCCCAGCACTCGGGAGGCAGAGCCAGGCGGATCTCTGTGAGTTCGAGGCCAGCCTGGGCTACCAAGTGAGTTCCAGGAAAGGCACAAAGCTACACAGAGAAACCCTGTCTCGAAAAACCAAAAAAAAAAAAAAAAAAAAAAAAAAAAGAATTTGTCTATATGTCTAATCCTGGCATTCTGTTGTTCCTTGGTCATATGACATTATAGTGGCTCTGCATGAGCTAACTGTTCTAAGAGAGGGAGGTCCTGACACCTCATACTTTTATCATCTTTCCACTCCATATTTGCTCATCAATATGTCTCTATGTAGGACAGAGTTGTATGTCTCGTAATTGAGTGTACAATGAAAGAGGCTTATACTCTCAACTGTGGCCAACTCCTCTAGCCCACTGAATCTTGTTGACCTTTTTAAGTTTACTTTGTTTTGAATATCGTGTTCCTGTGTAAATACAGGGACAGATGTTTCAAGAATATCTCATAGCCTCATAAAGAGACCTCTGACTTCTTTATGTGTCACAACCTCCAAGGCATAAGGAAGACCTTCAAGTAGATAAGGTTATCTCCCTAAAAGTGGGAGGAATAGTATGTTCAGGAATTTCCTGGGGAAGCTTAGAAGCAGCGTTCCTGAGAGAGGGCATAAATGATTCATAAGGAATTTTCCATCAATCCAATATCCTCAAATTGTAAGAATATTAAAAGTGCCCCAAGTATGTAACAGGTAGAGATGAAAACCAAAGGTGGCATGGCAGCCATCATGTGGCTCAGCTCTGCTGGATCTTTGTCAAGCAGCTGTGCTGGCTTTATGACTTCTGCCATTCCATCCAGATGTGGCTGTGCCAGCAGACAAGCTCACCCTAGGGCAAGAAATGACTGTGACCTCATCTCATGTGGTAGAAGAATTTCTCAAGCAGCCTCCCGAGTGCTGGTTGAGCAATGCAAGGATCCACTACCAGTCCCTCCTCCTTAACCCCACCACCCCCTGTGAATATATTTGCCTCATCAATGACCTTAAACCCAGTCACTCTACTCCCTGATCCAGACTTGGACAACCCTTTCATGGCTGCCCTGAGATACTCAGCCAAGTTCATGGGACATGATCTGATCTGAGGGACCAACCAATGCCAGATGCTGAATTCACCCAGTACACCTTTGGGAGCAGTTTTGTCAAAGAAGGAAAAAGGAATGCAGGCGAGGTGGTGGTGATGGAGGGAGAGGACATTTGGGCTGAGACTCTGCCCCCATGAACGTCGGCCCAGAAGGCAGAAACTGATCACCTTGACCAAGGCCTTAAGAATGTATATACAGCTGGGCGGTGGTGGCGCACGCCTTTAATCCCAGCACTCGGGAGGCAGAGCCAGGCGGATCTCTGTGAGTTCGAGGCCAGCCTGGTCTACCAAGTGAGTTCCAGGAAAAGGCACAAAGCTACACAGAGAAACCCTGTCTCGAAAAACCAAAAAAAAAAAAAAAAGAATGTATATACAGACAGTTGCTAGGCATTCGCCATGTCACACCTACATGATGTTATATATCAAGAAAGGGGACTTCTGACAGCTGAGAGAAAGATTATCAAAAATAATTTAAATCCAGCCGGGCGGTGGTGGCGCACGCCTTTAATCCCAGGACTTGGGAGGCAGAGCCAGGTGAATCTCTGTGAGTTCGAGGCCAACCTGGTCTACAAAGCGAGTTCCAGGAAAGGCGCAAAGCTACACAGAGAAACCCTGTCTCGAAAAACCAAAAAAAAAAAATAATAATAATAATTTAAATCCTAGACTTGCAGAAAGCCCTATGGCTCCTGGCTAAGCTGACAATCATTCATTGTCCGGGACATCAAAAAAGGAACTCCCCAGTTACTTGGGGAAATCAGAGGGGAGACAAGACCACTAAGGTGGCTGCGGCAGAACAAGCTGCCCCAATACTAACTCTAAAGCTGCCAGAGTGGGGTTCCCATGAGCTGATGGACAAACTGGGATATACTACAGAAGATTTGACCCTCACCCATAGCCTACCTCAGGCCTGGAAACCCGAAAGGCCAGAAAGATGATGGCTAACAGGATTCAGAAGACTAATCCTGGCTCTCACGAGGAGACTGATTTCACTAAGGTGAAACCAGGAGAATATGGCTACAAATATCTATTTGTTTTTATAGATACATTTTTCAAGCTGGGAAGAGGCTTTTCCCACCAAACATGAAACTGCCCAGATGGTGGTCAAGAAGCTACCTGAAGACATCATTCCCAGGTATGGTATACCTGTTCTGATTGGCTCCAACAATGGACCCCCCTTTGCAGTGCAGGTAACTCAGGGTATAGCAAAAGCACTTGGGGCAGATTGGAAATTGCATTGTGCCTATAGACCCCAGAGTTCCGGTCAGGTAGAGTGCATGAAAATGGATCCTAAAAGAGATTGGGTGGCCCTCCTCCCCTTCACCCTGTTTGGGTACAAAATTCCCCTTACACCATCAGGCTTACACCATTTGAGATCGTATTTGGACGACCCTCTCCTGTCCTCCCCAACTTGTGGTCTGACTTGCCCACCAAGTTCAATGATGTTGACTTGCTTGCCCCCTTAAGCGCAGCAGCCTTGGTGTTCAAGGACACCTGGCCGAGGTTGTAACGGTGTAGGAGATGGCTCCACCACCTACTCCACATCAATTCCAGCCCAGGGACTGGGTTTATGTCAGAAGACACCAACACAAGACCTTAGAACCTCGCTGGAAGGGACCCTACATCATGATCCTGACCACCCCCACTGCCACCTGGGTATACCACTCCCATGCCCACGCAGCTCCCTGGCAAAGCACCAGGTGGTCCCATGCCAACTCAGTCTCCCTATCAGGTTGTTACATCCCTGGACGCCCCCCATCCCCCCCCCCCATTTCCTACTCCAGCCAAACTAGAACTTCCTGGCCGAAGTAATACTGCAAAACAAATGGGGATTAGATCTTGTATTTTTATAGCAAGGTAGGCTGTGCACAGCCTTAGGGGAGGAATGTTGATTCTACGTTGATTATTCAGGAATAGTAAAAGAGTCACTGGCCAATGTTAGGGAGGGACTAGCCAAACAAAAAAGGGATCATGAGCAATCTGGTTCGAATCTCTGTTTAATGCCTCTCCGTGGTTGACTACCTTAGTCTCCACATTGTTAGGGTCTCTGCTGATCTTAATACTTTTACTTTTGGGCCCTGCATCCTTAATAGACTGCTTGCTTTCATTAGGGAAAAGATCAGCACAGTGTAGTCAATGGTACTACAGTCTCAGTATATTCCATTAGAGACCTTCAAAGAGAATCCAATGTTGGAATTCCTGGCCACTCCCCCAGCTACATGACCGTGCATGTGCTGGCAAAACAATTAGTCATTCCAGGGCTTTACATCCTACGTAATCCGTGTGCTGCATGATCCTGTAATTTATGCGCAGTGTGATCATGCAATCTATGAACATGCGTGGCATGGTCAGGAACATTGGGGAAGATAAATAAGAGGGCTTGAAGCTTGTGTGTGATATAAAACAGCTAAGCTAACTAGTTTAGAGGAAAGATAGGGCTCCAGGGTACGGGTGGCGGTGGGCAGCAAAACTAGTCTTGGCAGACTGTTGCCCTTCCCCCAGTAAAGGTTGCAACTTTATGGAGAGTTACATTTTTATACACACTCTTGCATTTAAACATAACAGATTGAATTGTGGGTAAGAATGGCTTCTAAGAAAGCTTCCACATTTCACATATTCCAAGAAGGTGACCCCAGTCCGCCCCCGAGGGTGGGCAAGGGGAGGGGACATGATAGGCCAAGACTAAGTCCAGACACTAGAGGCAGCTCCTCTTGCTGCTGCTCAGCTCTGTCCCCTCTCCACTCTGGAGGGGGAACAGTGCTTTCGCTTTCTCTCCGGCTAAAAATAAACTTTGGCTGCTTGCTCTGCCTATGTCCCACTGCGGTGAACTTTTTCCCCACTGAAGTTCAAGAACTAAGGCTTCTGCAGCGGTTGGGATTGGAGGGAACTTGGGGAAGAGTGGTTCTGCCATCTGTAACATCCTGAGACAGAGGCAGGAGGGTTGCTGCAACTTCAAGGCCAGCCTTAGTCACACAATGAGTTCCAGGACGGCCAAGATTATATATAATGAGTCTTGTCTCAGGAAAAGAAATAAAAAGCTCCCTCTTGACCAGAGTGTGGCTGAGTAGAAGAGCCTGGTACACTAAAAGAACAATATAAGTAGCCACCTCCCTGGCCAGCTACCCCACCTACCCTCACACCTCCCCAAGGACAAAGTCTAGCTTCAAATCCCTCCCACTATCTCTAAGGTTGGCTTAAAGTCCCAAACAGAGCCCTACCTTAACTGCCTTAAAAAAATTTATTTCTTGCTGGGCACTGGTGGTGCACATCTTTAATCCCAACACTCAGGAGGCAGAGGCAGGCAGATCTTTGTGAGTTCAAGGCTGGCCTGGTCTACAGAGCTAGTTCTAGGACAGCCAGGGCTACATGGAGAAACCCTGTCTTAAAAAATCAAAACAGTTCCAGGAAAGGCGCAAAGCTACACAGAGAAACCCTGTCTCGAAAAACAAAAAAAAAAATAAAATAAAAACAGAAGGAAGAAAGGGGGGAAGGAAGGAAGGAAGGAAGAAAGGGGGAAGGAAGAAAGGAAGGAAGGAAGGAAGGGAGGGAGGGAGGAAGGAAGGAAGGAAGGAAGGAAGGAAGGAAGGAAGGAAGGAAGGAAGAAAGGAAGGAAGGAAGGAGAGAAAGAAAATTATTTCTTTAAATTATGTGTATGTGGGTGTGGCTATGTGCACACTAGTGCAGGTACCAACAGAGGCCAGAAGAGGGCACCAGGTCCCTGAGAGCTGGAGTTACAGGCAGCTGTGAGCCTCCTAAGGCGGAGCCTAAACTCAGGTCATCTGGAAGAGCAGTATGTGTTCTTTTGTTGTTGTTTTGTTTTTTGTTTGTTTGTTTTTCGAGACAGGATTTCTCTGTGTAGCTTTGGAGCCTGTCCTGGAACTCACTCTGTAGCCCAGGCTGGCCTCAAACTCACAGAGATCCACCTGGCTCTGCTTCCCTAGTGCTGGGATTAAAGGCGTGTGCCACCACTGCCTGGCTAGTATGTGTTCTTAACCATTGAGCAATCCCTCCACTCTCCAGCCTGCTCTGGGTTTTTTGTTTTGTTTTGTTTTATTTTGGGTAGGGTCTTGCAAGGGAATCTGTGGTGGTGTAATTCATCACGTTATCCTGGGAAGGAGCTTCCTTCAGCCTTTGGTACATGCTGTTCCTTGTTCTGTGGAGATTCCAAGGGCATCGGCTGCTACAATGGGAATTAGATTTCATTCCTGAGCAGCTTTTTCAGGAAGAGCCAGATTCCACCTGCTGGTGCTTGCTGTGTCAAGATGATCAAACTCTGTCCAACTCAGAGTCTATTTTAGGTGTGACTCACATCAAGGACATGATGGTAAGCCAGGCTGGGAATCCACCTGTGTGGGAGATTTGGTGAACCGTGAACACTTTATAGTCCTGTTTCTCTGGAAAAGAGAGCCCTTGGGCTGGGGAGGTAACTGCAATGGTAGAGTGCTTGCCTAGCAGGCATGAAGCCTGTGTTCGATCCCCAGGATGGCATAAATGAGGTGTGGTGGTGCACACCAGAAAACCCAGCACTCAGGAGGTGGAATCAGGAAGATGGGAAGGTCAAGGTTACCTGGTTACTTGGTGAGCTCCAAGCCATCCCGTGGTACATAAGATCCCAATTTCTGGGGCAGGGGAGCTGGGGTTCAATGGATAAAGTGCTGACTGTACACACAGGAGGACCAGGACCTGAGTTTACTCCAATATCAACATCAACCCACATACACAGTGAGAGGCGGGGCTCCATCTGCATGGAAGGTCCCCGAACGTTTCCCGTTCAACAGAACAGTTCTTGTCGCTATATAATTTATTGTAAGATATGTCACACACACACAGAGGGACACCTATGTACCCACCAGCTCTAAAGTAAAATCCAGTTCCTAAGAATCCCAAGGACCTCCGCACATCCTTCCCCACCAAGGATAACGGATGAAATGGCTTTCTTGCTCTTCCTTTCATCCTTTATATGCCACCGAATGGGGACTTGCTTATTTTTTTTTCCTTCTTTGGTTTATTCTTTTTTGTTTGCTTCCTTGTCTTTTTAAGATTTATTTATTTTTACATCTGCACCACGTGTGTGCCTGATGCCCTTGGAGGCTAGAAGAAGGCATTGGATCCCCTAAGACTGGAGTTCCAGTTTCGAGCTGCCCTGTGGATGCTGGGAATCAAACTTGGGTCCTCTGGAAGAGCAACCCATGCTCTTAACTGCTGAGCCAGCCCCTCCAACCTACCTTCTACTCTTTGAGACAGGGCCTCAGCTGCCCAGGCTGGCCTTGACCTTACCCCATAGCCCAGAGAGCCCTTGAAATTATGACTGTCCTGCCTCAGCTTCCCAAGCAGCTGAAGGACAGGCCTGTGCCATCCTGCCCAATGGAACACATTCTTTGTGACTTGTTTCTCCTCCCACTGTCCTTGGATAAGGCACTGCAGACTGCCCCTTTGGTGCCAAGTGGGGTGTTCCGAGCTGTGGGCTCAGAAAGTACGTCACGGTCTTTAAAATGATAGGCAAAGTCACATTGACCACTAAACTAAGCTACTTACCATATGACCTTTCCTTTTCCCTTATAGAATAAGAACAAATTATACCCCTGGACACACATACCCCAAGAACAAGAAGTTGCCTCATTTGTCCTTCTGCTGGCATCTCACAGAGCACAAGTGTACACACATGCACACACACACACACACACACACACACACACACACACGCACGCACGCACGCACTAATGTAATAAGAACTAAGCTGAAGCCCTGGAGGCTTGTCATTAACATTTCTTTTCTACCTCAGGCTCTCTCAATACCAACACTTCATTACTGTTTGAGACACAGTCTCATGTAGCCCAGGGTGTGTAGCTGAGGCTAGCCTTGAACTCCTGATCCTCCTGCCTCCACATCTGGGATGACAGTCTTGTATCACAACACTCAGCTTAACACCAGCTGTTAATCTTTTATGCTGAGAAAAGGCTGGGCTGCGTTGGTTGCCTCCTGCTGTGCCACAATTTGCCCCCAAAGGCCGTGGCTTAAAGCAACAGACCATTTGTTACCTAATGGTTTTTGTAGGTCAGGAGTCCTGGTGTGGCTAGCAAGGTGCCTCTGGCTTTTCATGATGTCGTGGTCAAGCTGTCAGCTGAGCCTTGAGTCTCCCCTGAGAGTTCAGTCAGAGGAGAATATGCTTCGAAGCTCACATCTGGTGGCCACTGGCTCGGCATCCTCATCCCTTGGGCCTCTCCACGAGGTTGCCTGGTGACATGAACTCCTCCAGAGTGAGCAGTATAAGAGCGGGCACATAAGACCTCTGACTCCCTTAATCTCTGACACGACACTCTATGCTGTGGCCTGAACGTCTGGACGAGATACTTTTCCCATCACTGAGACCAAATACCTGACAAGAAGCAAGGTCAAGGAAGGATTTGTTTTGGCTCACGGTTTGAGGGTGCACTGTTTGAGGAGAACACAGTTTGAGAGTACAGGCCATCTTGGCAGGGAAAGAATGATGGCTGGAGCTTCAGGCCCAACTTACATCTCACAGATGAGGAATACAGAGAGTCCAAATAGAAGTGGAACTGGCCTGTAACCTTTACCTAAGCCCTGCTCCTACGGTCTTATCATCCGTCACCGAGGCCACTTCTCCAAAAGGTACCATAACCACCCAGAATCTGCTCAAACCGGGTGTCTTTATCTCCAATTCTCAGTTCTTCCTTTCAGAACCAGGAGCGAGCTGCCATTGGATGTTAAAAACATCACAGCACATTTATTGACAGAAGAAGAAGTGCAGGTCATGTTGACATGTGAACAAAACAGAAGGCAAAATAGCATACTGTATGGACTCCATTTTTGTAAAAATATATAGGTATATGTAGCAAATAAAAGACCTATAGGCATAGACATTGAGTTGGCTGCTCAGTGGGTGTTTATTATTTTCTTTGTTTCTCTCCCATCTGGTGCAGGCTGGCTTTGAACTTGCAATGTAGCTGAGCATTATTCCAAGTGGAAATGGCTCAACAGTCACATGCTCTTCATCAAAATAGCAAAAGTTTAAGATGGAAAGATCCCTGCTCCGGATTATGGAAGGGTCCCGATCCTGTGTTAATATGGGGTTGAGGACATGTTTGTGGTTTTTCACAAGAGAATGAAGCTAGGTGGTTACCGGAGCGTTTCGCAAGGAGCGTGGAAGTAAGAAAGGTCAGCTCCAATGACGTTCCTATAAAGGAACCAGAATGAAAGTGGCCCAATTAGTGTTTCTGAGGTTTTGTCACTGGTTAATGCAAACAGTGAGGAAATAGAGTTAGGAGCTGTGCTGCTTTTGGCTTTACTAGTTCCTTTAGAAAAATACTTTATATCACCTAAAAGCTGTGCAGTATTCGAGCGAAGAGCTTTACAGTAGCTAAATATGGTAACTTCACCCTCAGCGTGAAGTTTTTCAGTAGAACAAACCAAAAGTGCTGCTGTAATAGAAATGTTTGTCTGAATTGAAGCACTTAGGGGAGCTATTATGAATTTGGGTGAAGGGACAGCCTCTAGTTAAAAACTGTCTACCACTGACAGTGCATCTCTGCCGGTTCTGGACCGGCTGAGAGAACTGGCAACTTTGGAGTGTGGCTTCATCCCAAAGATGTTACAGTCCCCTAGCAACAAGTAACTCTATAATGACAACACTCACTAAATCCCAGTGCTTTATAGCAAAGCTAACTATAAACTCTAAACTTTAGAAATGATGTACGTACTTCCTGTCTAGTTAAGAGAATCTTTCTAAGAAAGATAGTGATAATTAAGAGTAAGAAATAGAAAAAGATGAAAATAAGATATGTGAGTTTGTAAAAATTCTCTTGTTAGATCTGTGTTAAGAAATCTTTAGGTGTTTGCTAAGTTAAGATACTAGTTGTAGCCGGGCGGTGGTGGCGCACGCCTTTAATCCCAGCACTCGGGAGGCAGAGCCAGGCGGATCTCTGTGAGTTCGAGGCCAGCCTGGGCTACCAAGCGAGTTCCAGGAAAGGCGCAAAGCTACACAGAGAAACCCTGTCTCGGAAAACCAAAAAAAGAAAAAAAAAGATACTAGTTGTAAACTAGTTTGTAAGTTTAAATAAGAAATAAGATAAAAAGTATATAAGAAGTAATAAGAAATATATTTGCTAAAGTACTTCTATAGTTCCCTTAAAGAGTATAAATAAGTAGATGTTAATGTTATATGTGAATTTGTAAAAAAGTGTAAATGTTAAATATGAATCTATTCCTAATGTATATGGTGAAAGAACTCGAGACACAGAAGGTTAGTGTCCCAGTAGACTGCAAAGTAGGCAGTCTGAATGGTTTCAAAAGCTCCAGAAGCTGCTAAGAAGCTAAGAATGGCGGACGCCAGAACCAGCACAACAAGACATCCGTAGCTGAGATCCGTGGAAAATCGACGCAACACAGAAAAATCTGAGCTAACATCAAAAACGGCGCGGTTTAGAATACTACTGTACCTAAAACGGTCTCTGGCTTGAGAATAAGTTCAGAGACGCTTGTTTGAACAAAAATTGTTAACTGCAAAAAGTTTTGGTTGAAAAACGTCTCTTCATGTTTTGAAGTGAAAGCCTAATACCAGGATTTATTTGTTTGAACTTTTTGAACTTAAAATGAGATAAAACTACAAAAAGATTTTGGTTATGGATTTCTTCATATTTGGAAGGCTCGTACCAGAATTTATCATTTGAATTTTGGGACTTAAGAAATGAAATGAACAGTAGAGATTTCATTGCAATGGGACAATTTTGAGTTTACTTATAGTAATGACCTAGGAACTGTTTTCTGGAATTGGGTTAAAAATGGAACTGTTTAAATGAAGAAATTTATTATTTCTACCTAGAATCAAGATGCAGTTTTGTGTATGCATATATGCTTTATTAATTGGTGATTCATGAATTGTTTTGTGGAACTGTTTATGTAAAAATGAAATTACTTACAGAACTGGTTTTGTGTTACAAATGGCACTGTTTAAAAGTTTGGGTTTTCTAACTAGGCTTGAGATTTTGCTTAAATTATAAAGAAAAGGGGGAGAGTTAATATTCCTTAGTCTAATTTCAAAAGTTGTTTGAGTGGATTAATGTCATGTTTTTGTTAGTAAGAAATGCAAATGGGGTATATTAAGAGACTACTTTTAAAGTATAAAGAGTTTTATTAAGAAACTGCTTTTGGATGTTTTGCTAAGTTTTCAAAGTGTTAATGGTTAGATTGAGAAGATTGCTTTTCAATATGGGTTTGTAGGAATTGTATGAGTTTGGGTTCTTCTAACTAGGTTTGAGATTTTGTTTAAAAATTATAAAGAAAAGGAGGAGTTATGAGGTTGAATTATGTTTGCAGAAATTATATTTACCCTATTGATATTAATGCACCCTGGTTTTGTGGAGTTAAGGAATATTTAAGTTTGATGTGAATGCATCGAAGTTTTTCCTATGTTCTGTTAGCAAGAAAATTAAAATGATTGAGTTAAAGTTGTAAGACGGAGAAAATTGTTAAATATATATAGCACCATATATGCTAATTCAAATGGTTCTGTTAAGAGTTTGCTTTGAGTTGTAAGATTGAGAGAATTGTGACTATGTATAGCAATATTTGTTAACCTGTTAATGGTAATGATGAAGCTAAGGGATTCTTTAAGTTTGTAGTCGCCTTAAGAGTTTTTGGGTTAGAAAGGGCTTGAGGCAGCTAAGACTGCTGTAGTCACCTTGGACCTAATTCAAAAGAGAAATGCCATCTATATCATCCTCTACTCCCATATTGGGAGGTGTAACAGTTATGGAGATTGCTGTAAGCCATTAATAGTTATTTTTTTATATATTAAGAAAGGGGGACCTGTGGGAGCCCGTTCTCGGGTTCCTCGTAGCTTTACCCAGCAAGTCCGCATAGAGGATGATTAGGACCACGGGCCTGAGTGCAGGTGTCTGAGATGGTCTGCACTTAGCTGTGCTGGGGGGGAGGTCTTTTGCTCCACCCCTTGGCGTCTCTATAAAAACCCTGAGGCAGAGACAGTCGGGGTCCGTTGGAAAAGGTTCCAGGCCCTCTCAAGGTTACCCTTTATTTTCTATCTGTTTATCTCCGCAAGATTCTCCGCAATAAACCCTTCTATCTAATATTTCCTGCTGCTCGCACTCAAGAAAACTCTGGGGAACTGTGGGGGTGGTGGGTAAACGCCTCACAGTGTGTGTGTGTGTGTGTGTGTGTGTGTGTAGACATATGAATACACAATGCTCTGGTGTATATACACAAGCTTACACAACAATCTGTGTGTACATGTGCATATGCAATACTCTGGTGTGTGTATAGATACGTACACACAATGATCTGGTGTGTATATATACACACATGCACATACAATGTTCTGGAATGTGTGTGTGTATACATAAAGGCATACACAATATTCTTGGAAGTGCATACATATACATACACAATGTTTTAGGGGGTTATACACAGGTAAATACAATGATCTGGTGTGTGTGTGTGTGTGTGTGTGTGTGTGTGTGTGTGTACATGCATACACAATGCTCTTGGAGGTGTATTCACATATATACACAATGTTCTGGGGGGCGTGTACACATGAACATACTGCTCTACATTCCTTTTGCCTGCCTGGAACTTCCAATAAGGGCAGCGTTTGGCTACCCACGCAGCACAAGTCTCTTTAAGGGCAAAGAACCTCACGCACTTCCTCAGAAAACTGCCTCCCCGTTAAAACCGAAATTCTAGCAAAGCAGAGCTTTTGCCCGCCGGGATCCACACGTCCTACTCCTAGCGCTCGGCGGGGCGGCCCGGGGTGTTTTCAAACTTCTTCAGTGCGGTCCTCAGGCCCACTGGGAGTAGCCTTCCAGGCGGGACTCGCAGCCAGCTTTCAGGGGCCACCCTTTCGACAGCCGCCCATGCGGTCTGCGCAGGCGCGCCCCGGACCACGCCCCCGCGCGACGTCACGCGGCGGTTACCGCGCTTCCACGTTTGGCGCTCGCGATTTAAAACTCAGTCCGGAGCCGCGGAGAGCTAAGATGAGGACTCCGCGCCCAGGTGAGCTCGAGAGGGTCGAGGCGCGGCGGGCAGGGGCAGGGCCGAGGGGCGCTCGCGCGGGCAAGTCCGGAAGGGACGAGTGTGCTCGGGGTTCGGCCGGGGCCCCGGGGCCGGGGGTCAGGGGCCGAGGCGGGGGAGGGGAGAGGAGGGAAGTGGGGGGGGGGGGGAAGCGGGGCGCTGGGCCAATCAGGGCGCAGCTGCAGGTGGCGGCCGGGCTCCTCTGCTGCCCGCGCTCCCGTTCTAACGAGGGGGGGAAGGTGGTGTTTCCTCCGGACTGGACGTTATTCGGGGAGCTGTGAAAGCGAAGTGGTGACCGCTCTGTGTTGAGCGTACGCGCCTTTATTTTGGAACTGATTCAGAAGTCGTGAGCGCTCCCTTTGGGACAGACCTTGGATCAGCTGCGGAGATAACACAACAGAAGAAGCCTGGGCACTGGAGGTGGAGACTGGAGGATCAGAAGTTCAAGGTTATCCTCAGCTATAGCGAGTTCGAGGCTAGCCTGGGATAAGTGAGACTCACTCTGAAAGAGAGTGGGCGGCGAGGCAGGGGGAGGGGAGAACAAAACAGATAAATGCCCCTTGCCTCTTGGAGCTTGTGTTCAAGCTGGGACAGTCCAGGAAGTATTTGACAGATAAGGCCTGGTGCTGTGACTCCTCTCCGTTATGGACTGGAGATTTTTAAGCAGGCATTGGAAAGAACGTTACAGGCAGAACAGCGTGTACAAAAGTGAAGATTCAGGAGTGAAGAGCCTGGACTGGGCTAGGAACTAACTAGAACATCGTAACTAAGCTTAGTGAGAATGGACAGTAGGCAGGACCTGGCAGACCTTGATAAGAGGTTTGGAATATAGTTCCATTTTGGACATGTTGCCTGTGACTTCCTGGACAGGTGCTCAGGTGAAGGGGTCTGTATCTACTGGATGAGTTTGACAGCGGTCCATAGGCTGAGAGGCAGATTTGTATTTCCCCATCATTTAGATCATAGAGCCATGGGTGCAGGCGAGAATTCTGACCTTGTGGACAGTACACATCCGGGACAGCACAGAGAGACCGGATGAGAGGAGGGCATTAGTTATTCCGAATGCTGCTGGGTCTCAAGAGAAAGGAAGCCTGGAAGTGCCCACACTGGTTGACCATATGCAAGTTGTCCTTAATCACAGCAAGACTGTTTTCATGGAGCGGTAGGAATTCGAACCAGAGCAGAGCAGAGGGGTTGAACCTATATTCCCAGCCTCCTTTTATTTTTAATATGTTCCTATAAAGTGTTATTGTGTATATTATGGTTACATTGTATCACCTGTTCTGGAACAGCAAGGTCTGCCCAGCTGCTCTCTCCCTTCCTGGCTCCTTTTCTCCCTTTCTTCCTCCCTCCCTCTCCCTACCTCTGCACATGCCAACCAACCAGCCAAGGATGAGTGCTATGCAAGTTCTCTATCACCGGGTTATACCCAAAGCCAGGTATATAATATGTTCTTCCATTTAGGGCGATAGTGAAGCGGAAACAGAGCATTTACTTGCCTAAAATTTTGTTAGCTGGTAAGTGATGAAGCCAGGTTTGAAGCAGTGCTTTCTGTTTCTTAAATCAGGGGTAGGGATGAGTGTGAGTTAGGGTTCTTTTATCTCCTTCCAGGAATCTTGTGTCTTGCTCCAAACAGTAGGTCATAGTCACTGCCATAGCCACACCGTGAATGAGTCATGAGCAGTAACGGTACCGTTCTGTCGCCCATGTGGTTAATATCACCCCTCTGTGTCCAGCACATTTTCTCTTACTCCTAGACGTCAGACTTTTATTCTGCCAACCTATATTCTACCACTTTCCACTGCCTATTACCATCTTGTGTTCTTGTTCCTTCTTTATGTTATGTTCCTGGTCAGTCACTCTAATCATGCGCTTCCCTGTGTCCTCTTACTTCTTTACAGGTTCTTGGCAAAGCCCACAACCCTGGTTAGTTTAAACCTGTTCTGCACACTTGACAGTGGCCAGAGAAAAATCCTCAGGGATGCCAA